TGAGTTGGGCCTAGAAGCACAGTTGGTTAAGAATTAGTGTAGTATTATCTGTGTAGTTCCAACAGAGCAGCAAAGAACTACTTTCTGAACTAAGCCAAAAAATTTTAGTTGTCTCCAAAGGCTAGGGTTGCTTTCTGGAGACAAGGTCACACCTGATGTAACTGAAGTTCGTAAAAGACACTTCTGGCTATTGCTGCTGCATCTGCTAAAGTACAGCCGCATCCAATACCTGCTGAAAAATTTTCTTCAGATCAGATTTCCCACCTAAATTACTTTGGTCTTATGTGAAATAAGCTTCAGTTCATTCACCCCCAATCATTACAAAACTGCATTCAATAACCTTTTCCAGACTTTCTCAGCCTCCTGGGAATTAGTAGGTGGAAAACTAAATGTAAAGCAGCAATTATCTGTGTTTTAGTGATACTGCAGCCCAAGCCTCTGCATGCTTTCTTCCAGGGTTTTCAAGTGTGGAATACAGATACTGGCTTTGAAAGGGTCTATATCCCAAACTTTTAATTTTGAACAGAAGGGCCATGTACAGTTCTTAACAAACATGAGAGTAGAAATATCATGTAGGAAGGGAAGTAGGTAGGGAGCAGCATGGGTTAAGGGACTGACCAGGCGAGAAACAATGCTTTGGTAGAAAGGTCTCTGACCTTGCAAACAGCACCAGTTGTGAAGTACCACCACCTTTTTGTACCGGAGTTATCCTGACCCTTTTCAACCAGCCTCTAGTCCAGAACCTTCAAATGCCCTGAAACCATTTATGGCCCCTTGAAGAAGTCTACCTCACTTAAGAACTCTTTGTGTTGCATAGCTATATTATTTCATTCCCATTGCAAACTATTATGAAACTCAACATCCTGAATGGGGACATATTTTAGCATCACCTTTAGTGAAAAGCATTTATTTTGGAAATATCTTGGTATCCAGGAAGCATCCATGATACTGCTTCTGGTATTTTAGAGCAAAAATTGTTCGTTTGTTTGTTTGTTTGTTTGTTATATTTATTTACTGCCCGATAACCCAGAGGGCTTCCTGGGTGGTTTACAATAAAATACAATAAGATGAACAGTACATTAATAAATAATACATCAATAAGTTCCTATAATAATTGTCCTCGCCCCCATCAAAGGGTCTGGCGCCTGAACGCAAGCTGAACCAGCTGCGTGAGTGCCACCTGCTGAAGTAGAATGGCTGCTGGGGAAGCCCCACCCCCAAGCACCGAGTGGGCTTAGCGCAGCTCTTTTGCGCTCTCCTGCTCTCACTTTTCTTCCTCAATCTTGCCTTGTCGAGACTGTGGTGGAAGGCCATGTGGGGGAAGTGATGGTGACAGGGATGGTCCAGGAGAGTGGGCTGCCCCAACAGGGTCAGGCAGGCAGATGGCGGGTGCCCCGTGTGCCACTCGTTGAAGAAGGGCTGTTCTTAATTTTAGGGCACCAGTCCTTAATCATTTTTTTTCACAAACAAAATATGCAGACAATTTCAAATAAGCTACTCCATAAGATCACTCAAAAGAAAGCATTTAATGTGGAATCTGTTTCACAAAAGTTTCCTGTTGGTGTTAAAATGTGTAGAGTGTAAATTCATTTTTCTGGTGAAGCATGAATATTCTAAGATTCCAGAGTGCACCCTGCCATGGTCATGAAGGTCAGTAAACATTCTGAGAATTTGTAAACTTTTTAAAAGCCAAAACCCAAAATGCATGAAATCTTGCACAAACTCCATCATTTCGTGTATCACTGGTTTTGAACAATCGTGTGCTATCAATGCTCTTTGTATGAGGTCTGTTGTTCCTTTTATTGCAAGTATTCCCCTATGTTGTATTTCAAGGGCTTGGAGCAGTCATGGCCATTGAAATAAAACAATTGGGTGCTTAATTTCAAAGCTTCATAATAGCTATCAATTGACTTCTCACATAGAGAGCCTTGGAAAAGCAGAATTATTAAATTTGCAAAAACAGTGACAATTTAGGTCCATCTTTGTATCACGCAGGACAAAACAATAGTCCATATGTTCTTTAGACTGAACTGGCCTAACCTTTTGATAACATAAATTGATCGTGCACTTGTATGTGTGTCTAAAATCTTTTACACGCATCAACTGTCACATGCTTAATGTGTATAAAACAGATCTGAAGTAATACAACTTACACATCTGAAAACCTTTTATATTAAAATATATTTTTTAAAAACTACATCATTAACGGAGCAGATTACAAGTGGCTAAGAAAAGTAATGAGCAGCAAAAGTAGCTACCTTTTCCAGTCTGTTGGTGAACTCTGAACACTGGCATACCCTGCACTTAATCTAAATAGATCCACTTAGTGTTGGATCCAGTTTTACACTGGATCAGTTGTACAAAGGTGGACTTCCCTGCTTCCTCTTTCCACAGCAATTGTTCCAGCCCTCTAAAAATGCTACACAGTCAGAAGATCCAACTGAATAGTGTAAGCTGTGGTATGGGGGGAGACAGCATAGACAGAGGTATGGGTATATCCTGGCACCAGTCCCTACTTGGTATTTCTTGTGCCACTTTGAAATAAGCAGCACGGAAAGCAAAAGGACTTGCTTCTCTACAAATGTATTTTGGATCAGAATGTGAGGCATTAGGAATGCACTTAAAATTGAGGGTTTTGCTTGGTTTGAAGCCAGATTTTTGGGAGTGGGGTGGGGTGTATAGCTAGGACGGGTGTAAATGTCCTCATCTTCTACTTTGCCAATTAACCAGGGTGATGATATATACTGGTCCATTGCAAGCAAGCTGCTGCCACAAAGGGCTCAACATTGCCCCATGGCTGTAAAATCCACTGACAGCTAAAAGAATGCAGACTTCTCACTTTGAAAGTTCAGCAAAACAGCCAGTGATTATTCAGTGAAATAGGAATGACTCCCTGCTGTTTGAAAGCAATCCCATTGTAATTATTGGATATTCTATTTTAAATACCCCTGAAGTGTTTTTGTTAAGTAAGAAGCTTTCATTGGCTGGAAATACCATATTTTTCCTAATTTTAAAGAAGTATTTTATTATGTCCTTCAATCTGTCTGTTTTATGGTATTCCATTGAATTTAGGAGTGTAACCATTTGTTTTCTAGAAGCTCTATGTTTTACTCTGAAGTGTTTATCAGACAATCATCCTTACTTTATATCTATCTATCTTACCCAAAGGTGTATGTCAATTTGATACTGTAATGAAGGTTGTGTATTCCTTTTGGAATTAATCATAAAGAGCTAATCCCTGTGATCAAACAATCCAATGGTTTGCTATTTTAAAATATCAGTTAAGTGGGGGGATTACATAAATTATTTTTAATAAAAATACTGATATGAACTGGCCTTTAAGTATATTATCTGCAACCTTAAAATAATTCAATGGAATTTCCTGAAGTGTTAAACTTCAGAATTCAAGGCTATTATTTGTGAAATCGAAGTTTAAAATGTGAAGCTGTTTTCTGATATCTAATGTAAATATCTGTACAGAATATTATCTTTTGTATATTTTTGTGAAAATGTAGTTCCCCAAAAGATACAAAAGATTTAATAAAAACTTCATTTATGTTACTGCATAATATTTTACATTGTATCCTAAGGACCCCCCCAAAATATTACTTTCTGTTATTTAAATTATAGGTTCTACCTATGCATTCATAGCATGAAGAGTTCTTTCTCCAAATACTTCAATGGGTTTACTATGGTTTTTTCATTTCTAAAACTGGCCATCCAAATTCCTGCCAATACAGATGCGCTATGGGAATTAAGAGACAGAAAGAAGATTGTAGGATTGCATGCTCTCTGCCAGCAGCTCCTCCCTGTCCTGGAACCTGTTCCACTTTTACTACCTTATCATGTCTCAAGGATATCTCAGCATTATTATTAATTAGATTTAGACTTATATCTTGCCTTTTTCTTATTTAAAGAACACAAAGCAGCTTACATCATTCTCCTGCTGCTCTCAATCTTATCCCCACAACAGCAAATATGTGAGGTAGGTTGGGCTGAGAGTCCTGTGACTGGCCCAAAGTCACCAGTCGGCTCCATGACTGAAGAGGAACTAAAACTCAGGCTGTCTGAGTCCCAGACCCACACTCTTAACTACTACACTACACTGGCTATCGGTACTTAAGATTAACCATTTTGTGACTTAACCAGAGTGCATTGCCCAACTTCAAATTCTTGTCTCAAATTCTGACTAAACAGGAAATCCATTTATATTTGTACTGACCAATATACTCCTTTATGTATTCATTTAAACTAAGGTGGGGGGAAGTGGTTCAGGACAGATAAGAAGTACTTTCCACAGTGCATGGTTAAACTATGGAATTCACTGCCACAGGAAATAGGTGGCCTTAAGGGGGAACTGGATAAATTCATGGAGGAGAATAAAGGACTACTAGCCATGTTGGTTATGTGCTACCTCTGTTATTAGAGGTGTATGTCTGCTTGCACCAGCTGCTGAGGAACTTGGGTAGGTGGAACACTTGTACGCATCCTGCTTGAGAGATCCTGGTGGCATTCTCTTGCCACCAAAAGAATGGAGTGCTGAACTGGGGTATGATGTAGCATGGCTATTCTCAGGGTAAAATGATGGGGGTGGGAGGTACTGGCTGCTGCTCTCTTCTCTGCAGCTATGCATCTGCACCAGCTTGATCTCAAAAATAGTGTCCTTCATTTATATCTTAGTTGGCCACCTATCTGGCAGTGACAAGCCCCAGGCCGAACATAATTGCATATCTGAGATGTGAGTGAGCTGGTAGCATTTCCTTATTTTATGTTTTCCTTCCCTTAAAAGAGAAGCTTTAAAAAAAAAGGAGTAGATTCATACTGAGGATGCTTTCATAAAAGCACATATAAGCCATGCAATGTTATTTAAGACCCATTTCCCAAGGAAAAAAATAATTTCTTTGCAATGCCTAACAAAATCTCTTCTGGTTTTGAGATGAGTTGTCTGTAAATGACTTTGCAAAACTGCAGACAAAGGGAGGAAAGACAGTAGGCCAATGCAACTTCCTTGCCTTGACATTTTAATTAAGATTAAAGCAACATCGTCTTCCCTACAGACACTTTATACAGTAAAAAATATGCAAAACAAGTTATTAAATATACAAGTTTCAAAATTACTTATTTCAAGTATCCAATCAACGTCCTTTAAGAAACAATATATATTCAAAGCCTGGCATCTGTAATTCCATCAGCATCTTGTTCCATCAGCCAACATCCATTGTAGTACAATGGTGAAATTTAATGAACAGATTATGTAAATTATTCACTGAAAAAAAAACAGAAAATAAGCAAGTGTTATGACCTTATAAAAGTTATGTGAACATTATCCTGCCCTAAAATTCACCAAGCCAGAAAAAGTTCAAAATCAGATACAGCAAAAGTGTGAAAAATTACATCTTTTCAACATGCAATAAAGTGTTACAGAGGTTTCTTCCATTTTTTACCGAACAACTGGATTGTTCATTGCATCTTCCTTTTTTATAACCATACACAATTCAACAGAATAAGAGAAATCCATTACCTAGCTTGGGTCCGGGTCCATTTCAAGGCATGACGTGGTGGTACAGAAACAGCGGGATGGTAGAAACTGCAGTCTGCTCTGGTGCACTGGGTGTTAAACCTACAATGCTAAGAAGATAAAATGAATCAGAAAAGGCTACTGCAGGAGAGTTCAAATTAGCCTATTTAATCCATGTGGTAAATGTCACTTCCATGTTTTAGAATAATGAAAAGCTTTTAATAGCATTTTTCAAATACATAACTTTGATTATCTAAACACAGATGGGAAAGCTTCTGCTCCTGTGTTTGATTAATTTTAATTCCTATGACCAGTTCCAAAATACAAGAATATCAGTATAATTGATTAATTACAGATTAATGGGTGAACTGAGTCTTGCATTCGACATAGTATGAAAATTAATTAATTTAAAGTTTTTATATGCCATCCAATACTACAATCTCTGGACAGCTTACGAAGGGGGAAAAAACAGAAAACAACAACATACAAACAGCACACTGCACCTGACCATTAATGATAAAATCAAAGATAAAACCAATTAAATATTAAAATGTTGGGAAACCAAAAAGGTTTTCACCTTTCGCCAAAAAGAACAAAGCGACGGCACCAGGTGAACCTCTCTAGGGAGCATGTTCCAAAGTTGGGGTGCCACCGCCAAATAGGCCCTTCTCCAGGTAGCTACCCTCCTAATTTCCCTCAAAGAGTGCTCCTAGAGAAGGATCTCTGCCTCAGATCTCAAGGCATGGGCAGGTGCATAGGGGAAAAAGGCACTTCAGGTATCCAGGACCCAAGCAGTTTAGAACTTTATAGGTCATTACTGGCACCTTAAATTGGGTCTGGACTTCAACTGGCAGCCAGTGTAAACAGTATACAACCAGTGTGATATGGGGGTATCTGCTGGTTCCCGTTAATAACCTGGCAGCTCTATTCTGGACCAATTGAAGCATCCAGATTGTTTTTAAGGGCAGCCCTACATATGAAAATCCTATTCATAGTGTAATTAGTGGTTCATTCACACATGCAAGTCACCACCACATGAGATAGTGAGACTGGATGAACCAAAATTGTGAACTTGAAAGTGCAGCAAATCTTACAAGCAGCCTATATTTACATTAAAAGAAAAGGTACAATATAAAAATGGAATGTAAGAAAACTGAGTCTTACTTGAAACTTCACAATCAAAATGAACCAATAAATAAGACAGCTAGTTGAGAGTAACAATTTTGGCAATCATTATGTTAGGGTATGGCTTAGCAGCTGACTAATCTTAATCTGTTTTTGTATAGATGTATACAAATCTATCCAAGTACCTGAATTTCCTCAATTTAAGCTTAGTTTCCTCAATTTAAGCTTTTCCCCATTTTTTCTCAAAATAAATGCACAAAACATCCTTGGTCTGTTCTTGAATCATTCCTTGAACCTACATATCCAATCATGAGACTGATCTTTCCTGTCTTATCACTTACCTGTTATCGATGCAGCTCTCACCATCCCAAGCATCTCTCTCTTGTCTCAAAGCACCCCACTCTTTTCTGTCCTTTTGAACTGTTGCATGTACACTGCTGCTAATATATGTCTCAGGTGCGTCATGAGGCTATGTGCACAAGCTTTCCCTCCCTCTCTTGTACTAGGCCATCTCTCTCTTTGCATCCCTCTGTGTCTAGCTCTTTCTTCTCCTCCTTCCAAACAAAATGCATTGTTTGTATTAAGTCTTCCAGCTCCATAGAAGACACTCTTGATGGCAGGAAATAGTAATTACTCAATTATCATTCCTCAGGACCAGAATAAAATTGTTAGTAGCCAGCGTTTAGACCTCAGCCCAACTTTTCAAAATCCCTCTGCAGAAGAAATTAAAAATGGTACTTACTTTGGGATGGTAGAAAGGGCATTCCATTTTCTTACATGCTGGAAAAAATCGGCAAAGCTGACTGGTGGAAGATGCTGGAGGGACTGGAACTGGAGCTGTGAAAGCAACTGGAATAAAGCGATACCGAGCACAGAAGTGAATATTTAATTTTTAAAACATCATGTCTTAACAATATCTATGTTATTTCAACTCCTTGCTGATGCAATTCCTAATATTCAGCTAACGGCAATCTTAGGCAAGCAAGGAAGCAACCTCACTGTAGTTAAGAAGGTTTCAGTGTCTGAATGGGCTAGTGTGAGAAACTTAAGCACACTGTCACTTCTTCTAGAATACAAAGAAGGTAGAGTAGAAATTTAAAAGGAGTCATTCAAAATGAAAGCTCTGTTTGCTCCAGAAAGGCATGGCAGCTAACTGAAAGTTCTAGCTACTTGTATAGCTTTGGTCAAAAAGCAGCTTCCTCTCATGTTAAACATGTAAAATAGAAGAGTGACTCAAAGCAGGCATAAAAAAGAAGCATGAAGTGGAAAATGCATGAGGAAAATGGACATTTTGCATCCTCCAAGGAGGATCTGGAAGCAGCTAGTCTATGGTTCCCTCATAAACTGAGCAAATGGAGAAAGAGGACCTTCCTATCACTCCCGCCTGCAGCTGTTGTCAATTCTAGGCCCTCATGGGAGAAGGCTGGGACTAGAAAACTGGTGTGCCCCCTTTCTCCCATCACACTAGGAGAGAACCAGACACCAACTTTTTAATTATGCACAATGAACAAAAATGTATCCTGTACTGTTGATATCTAGGCATTGCAATGTTCAAAACACACACAGCTGCAACGTGATTTTCCCCTATACATTTTGCCCTGTTTGTTACATACTGGCTTGCTGAGTTGCTGGCCTGGAGTATTCTTTTTTACAGTTGTTGAAGGATTAAGAGTTGTTGAAGAACACTTAATAACCTTGGTGTTGTGGCTTGTATAGTATCACAACCCCAAGGTATGGAAGGCTGTTAAGGACAGGAGGGGGAGCATATGTGAGACCCAATCCTCGACCAGTTAAGAAGGTACTGGGAGAAATGAGCTGTGCGGTCAGAGGGGCTTCGCCATTCTCACCATTTTGCCCTCAAGCTGCAAGAGCCATCCTGAGGTGGAGTCAAAAGCTCTACCAAAGGGAAAGACAGAGGGAAAGCTTCCAGTTTGGATTCAACTGTTTACATGAGCAGAAGTATCTCCCTCAACTTTGTTAGAAGGCTTTTAAGAGCTCATACTGTTCTGTAATCTGTTGTGTTTCAATAAAAGAACTGCACTTCAAAAGGCTGTCTAGAGTTTGATAATGGGAAGGAAAGAGGGAGGGACCAACTTACAACACCTGGCACAGCAAAAAAATCTTTACCTGGTTTAGCAGGTGGGAGTGGGGTCCGTCGACTGGCATGAGTATATGGGCAGTCTGGCTTGGCGCACTTGGCATCATATTTACAGTTTGGATGGATGAACAAGCACTTGTCAGCAAATTTGCAATTGGGAAAGGCCCTGGGAGAGAGGGAAAATGAACATTATTCCTGCTTAGTTAACTTGCTAAACTGCACCCTCTGTAAAATAATGCCTACAATCTGTCCTAGGACTGAACACTAGGCTAGAGCTCACAGGCTAGAATTGTAAAGGAAGACAATACTGATTTTTTTTAAAAAAATAAATCTAGTCTTCCATATTCAAATGGTGAATGGACAGATGTTCACATGCCTAGAGAGTTCAAAGCAGCAAGAAATGCATCCACAAGTAGTGGCCATGTCAAAAATCAACGAGCTAGATCCCCACCACCACCATAAACCCCCACTATGGGCACAAAAACACCAAAATAAGTCTCCGAGGCCACTGGATTGTTCATACACCCACTGATGTCTTCAGGCATGCAGTATATAAATTGATTAGAGAAAAGCCAAATTAATGTGATTTTTCTCAAATGTGTTTGAGCAGGTAGCACATGGGTTATATTCCCTCGCTGCCCAAGGCAAGGCACAGATCACATGAACAAGTGTTATTTTGCCCGGTTCCCTCAGCCTGCCTTTTATCTAGGACAGAGCTCTCCTTTTTCAGTCTCTAGCCATAGGAAAAATCAGTCATTACCATGACAAACAAAGCACTTATCCCTCTGTAGTGATTCCCATTCATTCAGTTTTGTACAGTACAGATAAAAATTAAATACTGTATGAAAGGACAGTGGAACCGGACCATTTGTAACATTATTAACATGAAATTGGTGAAGGGGGCAGCAGCAACATGAAATGGAAAACTGCAGTCTAGATCAACTAGAGTGTTTATTCAACTCTCTCTGATACAAATTTCACGGTACTGTAGTATTCATTAATGGTGTCTCTTACTCTCCTGTCACAGTACGAAGACAGACTGGATCTCTACAATGAGATGTTTACCTCTACAACGGATGTTTCCATGTGTATTTTCATCACACTGTTCAGAGTCTTTATAGATACAAGGACACAATCAATCTGACACAACAGAATCCTCGGTTGAACTCCTTGTTCTTATCCAAGCCCAAATCAAGTCTAAATATATGCAATTGTATTTGATCCATGTATCCATGTCCTGTTACGCTTATCACCATTTCCTTTTCTCCCTTTCTCTGACTGTCCTCTATAACTAAACATTATAACACTGTAAGCACCTTGGAACAGGACTGGGAGGAAGGGGGTTTATGCTGAGCTCCATAAACACAGGCTGTGCTGCAGAAATAATTATTGCTGTTTCACCCAATGTTTCAAGAAACATGGTTGCCAGATGGCCACTGACAACCATGAAGCTCTTCCAACGACCAAGAGCTTTTGATTGCCCAGTGTGAAGTGAGAGGCCCCCCTTCTTCCCTGAACTGTCCTCGCAATGCAGGGAATTCCAAGGTGGGAGAGACTCTCCTCTCAAGAACCTGGTAACGCCCTTCGCTCTGTCCATGACTTAAAACCCAGAATCAAGCACGCCTGGTAATAAAGGCTGCAGAATAAAAGATACAAAGGAAATCATACAAATATGCTCAACTTGCATCATGCATGCAGTCACAGGAGACAGCTTTTCTTGGCATGGAAAGTAATGACCAACCTCCAGAATTTTATTGGCAATTTGTTTTTCTGTGGGGTACATGAGCATTGCCTATACTACGGCCTGTGTGCTGGTCATACACTGTGGTGGTCAGTCCACAGCTATTAGAATACAGACTTGGGAGCCAGGAGCAGAACTGTCTCCTTGGCTAACTTGCTTGCAGGTGCTTCTTGCACAATGAGCACACCAAATGACCATCAAGTCTAGCATCCTGCTTTCGAGAAATATACCATCTCTGCGCACGGAGGTTCCCGGTGACAGATACATCCTCCTTCAGGCATTTGCCCAAGCCCTTTTTGCCAAAGAAGCCAGTGGCAGTAGCCGTGGTCACAGCCACATTCTGTGGCAGGGGCATGCAGCAGAAGCTTGGGTCAACACCTCTTTCTACCATCAAGTGTTACCACTGTGCCTGAAGATCAGGAGGACAAAGTAAACCGAGCTGCGCTGAGAAACTGACTTGCATGGCAGCGTGGGATGATGGAAGGCACACTCATCACCGTTTTTGCAGGCAGGCCAATACTTGCAGCGCTCAGGTACTTTCTCTACTTTGTGTGGGATGCTCACACTCTCCATCTCCACTGCAGAGAGAAAACAAGGAGGCAGCTTTAAATGGCGCACATACATTCAACATGTTTGACATCATAAGGATTCTTTACAGACAATGGAACAGTGGAGAACTGAGAATGCAGTAGTATATATAGGCGCCCCTTATTCAAAATCAAGGTGGAAGGAATGTTATGTGGAAGAGCTGCAATAACATATAAAAGATGGAAGTCTGCATAATTGTAGATGGTGCTGTGTGCACCTGAAACATCATTTTTACCACAATGTCCTTATTTCACTTTCCAAACGACATCAAAGCTAACATAATCCAAGGCTAGATGAAGATATTTTGATATCTGAAACAGAAATTCAAAATGGTTCCTCCACCGTATACCTGATCCTTAGCCACCCTTTTTGCAGAGCCCTAGACTAAGGTGGCCAAATAATTTTGCCTGAAGGTCAGGATGGTGTAGCAATGAAAAACCCACTTCATCAGATTTTCTTTCCTGTAGGGTAGTCGAATATCCAAGCTACCAAAAATGTTAACCTGCCAAAATATTCAACTTCACAGTGGCCATGTTTGATGGCCAGACTATCAAAATCTTATACCCTTAAGAATATTGTGCCTGAAAACACAGGTATCAAAATGTGGAATATTGGTTGGTGTCTTATACTGTGTTAGAGCCAGTGTGGTTAAGAGCGCAAATGGGACTCAGGAGATCTGGGTTCTAGTCCCCATTCAGTCCAGGAGCAAACTGGGTGACTTTAGGCAAGTCACACTCAGCCCAACCCACCTCAAAGCATTGTTATTGTGAGGATAAGACTGAGAGGAGGAAGAGAGTATGAAAGTGCATTTGAGGTTTTTTTTGAAAGGAAAAAAGGTCAGATATAAATATAATAAATAAATACTATTAGTTCATCTGGACCACTTTTGTCATCTCTGACTTGGCTCACGTTATAAACATAAGACACTGTATTTTAAGCCAGCATGTATGCTGTGTACAATTTCATACCCACCACTTGGATGTGGCTTATGCCATTCCAACCCAGGTGGCCTGGTTTGCCAGAAGTAGAAGTAACCCTCCAAGAGTGCTGCAAGAGCCTGTAGTTTTTGGAGGGTTGTTTTCCCCTCCAACACGCCATGTGTTTAGAGGACACAACAAGCTGCAGCCCACCAATAGTCATGGAAATCATGCCCCATGGTGGCTTATTTTGGTCATGCAAGATGACCCACTGATTGGCAATACCTTCCAGAGTTTCAGGCAGTAACTGAAGATGCCAGAGGTACAACTTAGGATCTTCTGTGCTGAAAAGCATGTGCCTGTCCAAGTGATGGGGTGATTCTTCCTTTATTTAAAAAAATGATATCCCACTTTTCTAGACAGCAGACCCTCAAGGCAGCTTATATTAAAATAACTAAATATGCTAAGAAGATGTTTAAGAAATACAGTGGTGATGGAAAAAGGTAAGGCACTCCAACAACTGCTCTTTAAATGTGTGTGACAAAGAGATAGCCTCTTTCCACTCTACCTCTTCACAACTTCATCCATGACTGGGGCCCCTCTTTTGGGCAGCTGGAAAGACGATAGCTCATAGCTCTTTCTGATGCTAGAGATGACAGAAGGCAGGGGAGGGGAATAATGTTAATTGTCCCCTCTTCATGGGTTCAGTCAGGTCTCTTCAGCATGAAGTCCACGTGTAGCCCCCAGCATGTTATTTGTGGCGCCCTTGACATTCACAGATGAAATTACCACTTCACGCACTGCCCCTGCCGCTGCTGCTTAGAACATGCTATAAATCAGCCCTAGCAGTGCCCTATTTCCCAGAGGATGCCCAACGAACCAGCACTGTGAGAGCCTGCTTCTCAGAGGATGCTCTAAGAATTAAAACACAAAGGACCTACTTCCCAGAGGACATTTCAGGAAGCAGCATTTGGTTCCATGGTTTGGGGGGATTTGTTAGTCATGTAAGAATGTATGTATATGTATGTATGCGCAAGAGGGAAGGTCACATCTGGTGAGTCATAAACAGGTGCTCAAGTACATGTTTAACCTCCCCTTGGGGCCAAAAAGTTTGCGCGCTGCTGCCTTTGATGTTTCTGTTTCAGCCCCTGAAGAGCTACTGGAAAATCACACAGGCTTCCAAGATCACAGTTTGAAAGCCACTGAATATGCCCATTGCCATAAAACTAAGTATGATACATCCCATCTGGGACATGGTCCTGTGCTAATTATGGACAGGCATATGTTCTTCCTAAGAGGTCTGTAAAAAAAGAATCACCATGGCAATTGGCTCGTGGCTCAGTCACTGTGTTCCTGCTGCTTGTTGAGCCTGAGTGGCCCAAAGAAAACCATGAAAACAAAGATGCTTCACAATCCCACTAACAAAAGGAGCTTATCCCCTGAGGACGGGAGCATTACCATCAGTGCTTTCCAGCTGTCTGGATATAATGTGCATCTGCTGCATGCGGAGGCTTCTTAATCCTTTGCTGCCTGTTGCTTTGGAGGGAACTGGCCTTACTCCTTCCATAAGGCTCAGCTCCTCCTCTTCTTGATCAGACAAATACCCCGGAGGGCTGGGGACTCCATCCAAAGTGACTATAAACTTGGGACTAGCAGGCTTCTCCGGCTGCACAAGCTGCTCTCTAAAAAACATGGGAGAAATGCCAGTAATAGTGCAACTGCACACAATTCATGACCATCAGCAGAAAGTTGTCACTCATTTGGGGGCTAGTTTTTTAGAAGGCAAGACTCAGTAGAGAAGCCAATAATGCTTGGGAAAGTTGAAGGCAGAAAAGAAAGGGAAGAGCAAATATGAGATGGATCAATTCCATAAAGTTAGCCACAGCCTTGAATTTGCAAGAGTGGAGCAGGACTGCTAAGGACAGGACACTCATCCATACGGTTACTGTAAGTCAGCAATTATTTGATGTCACATAACAACAACAAAGCACTTCAGAGGCTGAACCCATGTTCCCCTCAAACTTCTGATAATTGAAATACACTTTCCCCCTCACTTTCCCTTGCTTCCAACATCCCAAAAGGCTTTCTGTTTGATCTTTTTGTCATATGTTTTGAATTTGTTGCAAACTGCCTTTTTGGACCCAGAAATGTGGTACAGAAATAACAGTAAAGAATAAAATATTCATTTTACATTGTGGAAAAATGAAAGCAAATGAAAGCCACTGTCCTGAGCGATTAGAAGTGTGTGTGGCCTATGTAGGGTGCCAACTAGGCAGCCTCTTCTGAGCCAAGTAATCTTTTTTGCATCTTTGCATTAAGAATGACTGAAAATCACTGGACTACATCCAAAACAGAAACATGCTCAGCTGCTTCTCTGGAACTCTCATTTGGGCCCAAAGGAGACTTGACACACAATTAGTTCATTTCTTGCTATATTCCAGCATGTTCTGAATAACTTTGGAACATAATGAGCAATCCAGGGACACTAAGGCCCTCTCTTCTAGAGAAAGACCTGTGGCATTTTGAAAGCTAAGCAAAATGCCCACACCATACAAATCAATGCTTCCCTGTGATGGACCTAAAGACCAAGCTCATCATTCTGATCTAAGTCTGCACAGTGCATGGTAAGAAACTCAGACTTGTTAAACCGCTAACTGAATTTCAAGGAATCACTTCTTACCTTGTCTGAATCAGCCGTCCTGAAAGAACCTGCAAGGCTTCTGTGGTCCTGTTCCCCACTTCCAGGTTCTGGGGCACCATAACTTCCTCGGATAGCTTGGGCTTCTTTAGGATGAAGGATCTGGTGTCTGTGTGAACCACTGACTCCAAGTCATAATAATCTAAATTGGAAGAAATGTCAGAAGTGTTAGGATGACTTTGATAAATGCCCCCAAATGGAGTGAGGGTATTTCATGAGGGAGAACATGGCCAAAGATTCTGCCTGAGTTAGGCTCCAAGTGGCCAGCTTTTCCCTGCAGCACAGACTGCAGTGCATGAAAAGCCATGGAAGTGAAGGTGGCCTCACGCTAGCATCACTGTGTATCTGGTTCGTGTATGCTTTTCCAGCCTTAGGAAGCCCAGCTGGAGTGCAGAACCTCTTGCAGCCCATAGGTCAAATCCCATTTTGAAGATGCTCTTGGGGTCTGCAGTCCAGTGGCCAGTGAAGCCAAGGGGAAAAAAGAGTGAGGGCACCCACCCCATATCAGCATATTTTCCTCAAAGCTCTTGCTGCCAGTGTGGCATGGAATTCGAGTGCTGGACTGGAGACATGGGAGATCCTGGTTCTAGTCCCCACTTGCTCTATGGGTGACTTTGAGCCATTCACTCACTCTCAGCCTAACCTATCTGACACCGTTGTTGCAATGATAAAACAGACTGAAAGAGGATTATGTAAGCTGCCTTGGGTTCCTCATAAAAGAAAAAAAGGTGCAATATAAATATAAAGCATCATAAATAATGGTTTTCATTATTTTTAGGAGAGGCATTTCAGCCTTTAGGAAATAGGCAGAAGAGAATGCACAGGAAACTACCAAATGATCAGTGGTGGAGGGAAAGGGAACAGAGTCATGGCCTTCTAGGAAACCCTGGAGAATTAGAATAAGGTATTTGACAGAGGGTCAGAAAGAATGAAATTGTTGTTAAAACATAGAAATCTAACTTTGGGGCTGAAATAAAAACAAGAATAATCACAGCTAACCTTGTGGCTTTTGCAATGGCTCCTCAATGCTTGGATCAATCTGGAGACGGGAAAAAAGCTGCCTTTGCTGGGTTCCTAAAGAAATATGAAATGGAAATACCTTTTCCACCAGTTCAATTCAAGTTAAGGATCAGATGTACAGTAATTTCCCTCAATTCTAGGCTTAACAAGTGTTTTTGCTACGAGACATGGAATTCTCTTAAAATCAGCTTCAGCCTTTTCTTGTAATGATTGCCATCCTGGTAGATATCTTCCTATTTCGATATTAACTTTGCTTCTGATTTCTGCCTAGTACCAGAAGCACTCCCAGTATCTAAGCTGTCGCCTTGCTACCCTCATTGGCCTAGGTACTTTTACCTAATACGTGAGCTACACAAACTAAGGTGATTAGTTTAGAAGGAATTAGACAAATTCAGAGAGGATAGGCCAAATCAATGGCTATTAGTCTTGACTGCTCAGTGGCACCTCCAACTCCAGGAGGTATTGCTACTGAATACCCGTTTCAGGAGGGGGAAGATGCTGTCAAGCCTTGCTGGTAGGCTTCCCAAAAACATTGGCCAAGGACTTTGACAAATGGAAAGCCACACTAGTGGGGTCTTCGATCAGATGCAAGAGGGCTTTTCTTAGGTTCTTAGATTTTCAAGTCAAAATCAATGTGGCAACTCTGTTGTTCAGTAAGAGTATGTATTTCTTCAAATTGTACTGTTACTTTCACTTATCCTCATCGCTAAGAACATGGTATTCAAGGCAGTTTTCAATCACAAATAAGGCTTCTATAAAACAACAAATATATTAAAACATAATGTGTGTTTTAAATTAGAGGGTGGGAAATGCAGACTGCATTCCAATCAATACAGTCCAACATGGATCAGGGATTACATTCTCCTCATCATAAGGAATGGAGAAGAAATATGCAAGAATATGAGACCCTTAAATGATTGGGCTTTGTCTCCATGTTGTTGTTGTTGCTAGCTGTGAAGTTGTGTCTGACCCATCGCGACCCCATGGACAACATTCCTCCAGGCCTTCCTGTCCTCCACCATCCCCCGGAGTCCACTTAAGCTCACGCCGACTGCTTCAGTGACTCTGTCTAGCCACCTCATCCTCTGCCGTCCCCTTCTTCTTTTGCCCTCAATTGTTCCCAGCATCAGGCTCTTCATTGAGTCCTTCCTTCTCATTAGGTGGCCAAAGTATTTGAGTTTCATCTTCAGGATCTGGCCATCTAAAGAGCAGTCATGGCTGTTCACCTCTAGGACTGACCGGTTTGATCGCCTTGCGGTCCAAGGGACTCACAGGAGTCTCCTCCAGCACCACAATTCAAAGGCCTCAATTCTTGGGCACTCAGCCTTCCTTATAGTCCAGCTTTCACAGCCATACATTGCAACTGGGAAAACCATAGCTTTATCTATACGCACTTTTGTCAGCAGGGTGATGTCTCTGCTTTTTAGTACGCTGTCTAGATTTGCCATAGCTTTCCTCCACAGGAGCAAGCGTCTTTTAATTTCTTGACTGCAGCTGAGTCCTCCCACAGAATGGCTGCCACAAACCAGATTAATCAGCATACTGCCTGCTTCAAGAGATTACTCTTTCATTAATACCTGAAACTCTCCCCAGCGTTTGTTCCCTTGGTTCTTCTTCCTGTGCCTGGGAGTTCACCCTGGACAGTTGGTTCTGGCCATGCATTGCTTCCAGAAGGGCTTCCTCATGGGAGGTCCGTGTTCTGGGAGCCACAGGAACTGTCTGCTTTGGTGGGACTGTCAATAAACCAAAACAAACCATCAAGTGTGTTAAGCAACAAGCAAAAAACACTTTACCACAGAAGTAACTGCTGTCCCCAAAACTTCCAAACTGAGCCAAAAGAGCAGCAGTTGCTTTCTGATGAATTTCTGATTGTTTCTGAATTGCATTTAAGTCTGGAGGTGCAACATCACGTCCACAGCGCAATCCTAAGCACATTTATTAGGAAGTGCACTTTACCAGATTCAATGGGAACACCTGAGAACACGTATGCTTCTGCTGCTGCAGTGGTCATGCTGCCAGTGAACAAGCACACATGACCAAGAGCTCTGTGGGAGGGTAGCACTGGCTAGAGGAACAAGCAGCAAGCCAGAAGTGCTGCTTCCGGAACTGGGCAAGTCAGCCAAGCTCACCGATACTCTTACTCCTCCAAGTGGTACGATGCAGCTAGTTTCCTGGGGCACACAAGCAAGCGCTCACTCCTCCTTGGACTAGCAGTCACTCCCGCTGCCACCACGTGTTTGGAGCTGCTGGACTCCAGCAGCGGATACTGCCCATTGCCTCTCATTTGCACTAATATCCTAATAAGGTCAAGGCACAGAATTTAAGAAAACTGAGCCAAATTGTTCTTCAGATTCCCAAACAAACAAAAACTGTTGAGCATCTGTTCAGTTTCTGAAGAACTCAGGTCTAAAATCCCTCAATGTTGTGGGTTGCACCCATAAACCACGTTGGAATTCCTGTCCTTTCCCACTGTTCATTAGCCCTAAACTTCATGACCTTCTCAGAATGGGCTGTTTCAAACATAAGTAGAAAAAAAATACAGCCTATCATTTAAAAACACACAATAATGCAAAGAGTAAAATGTTCAAAAGCCTGATGACTGAAATTAGAAATAGTGGGGGCAAATTTCTACTTCAGTGGCAGTTCTTGTCGCTCTTCATTAACTTGTTTTTCTATGGTGTTTACACATTTCTGCTTTCATTTGTATGTGTCAGGATGGAAGAAATTGGTCTTCTGGGGCGCAGTGCTTTACGCAGCTGGCAATAATACCAATGTAAATAGAGACATTATCACCCATCCTGTTGAACTGAGGCTCACACCTGGCTTCAGACTCACTGCTAACACAGTAACAGCCTCCAGGGAAAGAAGTGTTGACAGTACTTCTCTAAGCCCTTGCTTATCTGGGGCACAGCCACTGAAGACCCTGCCAGAATCAGAATTCTACAAGGAGTCTTAGACCAGATTTATACCAGTTTAATCATTATGGTTTCCCTGAAAGAATAATAGAAATTGTACTTTCCTGACAGTGCTGTGTGAACCACTGGTTCCAAATGGGAACTCGGGAGATTGCTAGCTACCTCCTAGAATTATGGATCTCGGAATTCTCTGGGGAAAAGCATGTGTTCAACCAACTTGAGGCTTCAAGCCCAGCAATTCATTAAGTAAGCACATATGGGATTGCTCTCTTAGTCTGTGGTATGGATATTCCCCAAAAGGGGTTGTGTGAACTTTTCTATATAAGTAAAACTTCTGCCTTACTCAGTTTGGCACCAGTTTAGTAACAAACCTATGCTTGTGATATTGCAATAAAAACTAATCCATGGGACTAGATCTTAATTGTCAAATCAAAACTGAGTTCCAGAGGAGTAGCTATGTTTGTCTCTTTCAACAAAAATAGTCTTGTAGTACATTAAGAAGGAACAAATGTATTATGGCAAAAGCTTTTATGGACAAGAGACCATCAGATATATGAAGTATGCTAAAGCTTGAACATATGCAAGGTAAACGCAGCAACCATTGTAATGTCCATTAACACAAACATTCTAAGATTGCTAAATCAATTAACAACCATAGTAGGATAGAAAAGTATCAATGCCATTCAAGCCACCAGTCATAAAATACAACTTCTTGATAGGTACAACCTTAATACGTTGCAATTTAGGTTTCTTAACATTTCTCCTCCAATCACAGCTTAAATGTCACGTATTTCCACTGAACCAAAAGTAATATACCTGCTGCATAATTAGTTGTCTTTGTAACTGATTCCTGAGCTTCAGAAATAGCTTTCAATATCAAATTCTTATTGGCCTGCTTGGAAGGAGGCAATGAAGGTCTGGAATGAATGAAATACACAGATATGAGCAAGGAAATTCAGTGATGACTGCAGATATTCTCTTTCTGCTCCATACATATGCCAGGAGCTAGCTTCCCTGCAACTCTCTTTCAAACAATAGAGCAATTCTTTGGCAAAAGCTCTTTCTTTCTAATGTACATCCAGCAAGCTATAGCCAGCAAAAAAGAGGATCTGAGCATGCATAGAACAGTTTACTGAACCCAAATAAGAAACTATTTCCAAGAACATTCCTTTTGAGTAACCTGATCCCCACAACTCAGTCTCCTAGCTGTACTCAGGCCCTGTAGTTGGCTAGCCCTTTTCTCCTGACACTGAGTCAGGGGGTCAAGGTCTGAACCAGGTTCCTCTGGCTCCTCTCCCGTGTCCCCTCTCGGCACTTCCAGATGCTGCTTGAAAACCTAGAGAAGGCAGCCTTGAAATAAGCTCCCCCTCTTCCACCATCTCTGTTTCTGCAGGCCTCCCTTCCCAGGCTTCAATGCCCTTATCTGAAGAGTCTGTGCCACCCTGGCCTTGAAACATGCACCAAGAACAACTGCCTCCTTCACTCCCAACACATGTGCAAGTGTGGAGCACTGCGATGTTTCATTTTCAAAAGCCTGGCTGAAGCCCATAAAGAGGCTCAGATTAGAAATTTGAGGGTGTTATTATCTCAATAGCTACTACTTGTCCCATCATCAGTACTGTTCTGTGAACCACAAATCTCTGACTCCCGCAGAAACTATTGCATGTATCTACACATGGAGGACAACCATACACACACCGTACCCCTGTGCTATACAACCCACAACTTCAAAATTCAGCCTCTGCTGTGGTAGCAGTACAGGCCTTTATGACTGGACTCCTGATCCTCTACAGGCTTCTTTAAAATCATTCCTTTTGTGGAAAAATAATGGCAACCAAATCCTGGTTTTGTGCAACCTTACTCAGTAATTTCACTCCTGCTTTATTCCTCCCTTTGCATGAACAAATGAGGGAAGTACCCAAGCAGCCAGTTAACCACAGCTTCCCATTACATTAGAACTTGTAACTATGTCCAATGGCTTCCAAACAAGCCAGGATTTAGAAGCCAACTGTAAACTATGACTTCATATTCTGGCTTGCTTGGAAGCCATTAACCATAGCTTCCTAGTTATTGTTAAGATGTAGAAGTTCAAACATTAAAACATTCATAAAAGTCATGCATTAAATTACATTTATCATTTCCAAAAGTCATGCTCAAAACAGGACTTCTACAATAGTCACGCATTACATATTCAAGCAACATTATAGCAACCAAATAATACTTCTGATACATTTTCCTGGTTAAGTTCCACAACAGAAATTGGTCTTGAAATATATGTTATGATTAACTACAGTACCACTTGAAGCACCTTTAGATAGGCAGGTGCTTCATATTTTTAATTTACCCTTTCAGCATCAGTTTCTTTTTTAGAGCACAGAATATCTATATTTACCTTTTGCAGAACTCACACTATAAATAAAAAATGGTGGTTTTTAAGAACTTTTGGCGGTACCTTCTTTCAGGTTTGGCAGGCACAGAGACACTGCTGGAGATGCCTCCCAGTCGCAGTCCATAGTCTTCCTCCTCTTCCTCCTCCTCTCCATCATTACTAAACCGTTTCACTTTGACTACTGAGCTTATAATTGGGAGTTTCCTCTTCCTCAAACTTTCTTCCTGCAAGCAATAGAATAATGTATTTGATACATTTTATTTGATACCTTTGTACTCTGCCCTTCAAATATAGATATTTCTAGATCAACTTAACTATTGCTGACTTTTCCCACTTTGCTTTGAAAATCAAATGGCATTGGTTCTCCCCAGATTCAAAGAGAGACTATTTCCATGGTCTACTGAAACTGTGGGGAAGCAGTAGCCTCCTAAGTGTTGCTAGACTAGTTTTCATAATCCATAATTATTGCCCATGCTGGTTGAGACCAATGGGAGTCAAAGTTGAACAAAAACTGATTCCCCATCCCTGCCCATTATAGCTAACCTCATAATCACATACTATCCCATCTGTTCTGTGGTTTCCGTATCTTAGATTCTAGAATCTAAATCTGTACGCAAACAAGAACAACACATTGCAGTCTACTGGATGTACTAACAGCCCTGAACAAACAACAGCTCAGGGACCAACATGGGGTTTCCTAGATTTCCTATGTCTGAGTGCTGTGCTGTGCCTTTTGTAAACTGTCCAGAGACCTTTGGCTATGGGCATTATAGAAATGTAATACATAATAATAATAGTGCTTCTGGGTTTTAACAACTTGGGAGGAACAGAAAGTATTCCTCCAGAAAGGGTTTTTTTCCTTAGAAAAACCACTGCACTTTTCTTCCCATTTAAAGCGAATGCTATCTGTAATCCAAATAAGAACTTTGATCTGTTGCTCCTGAACAAGACGTTAAAATCCAGAAACAGTACACAAGTTTGCAGAAGTACTGCTCAACAATTTTCCAACACTAAACTATAATTCAGCATATTGTTATGTTTACCTACAGTACCAACCAAGAGCAGCTTTAGCACAGTGTCTTTCTTTTCCCCACCCTCCAATTTCACTTCAGAGTATTGTTTTGACTTTGCAGAGCTTGGTTGTTCCCAGTTGATCAATTAGTCCAACTCACTGCCTTATAAAGTAACACCAGATGCTCAAACCATTCCTTGGGATGCCAATTCTGATCTTTTCTTTCCTATCTTTCCTGTTATACTAACCATGGTTTACTTGCAAGATAGCCTCTAGAATCCACTAGAAGAGGGCCCTAGCATTCAGGACAGTTAAGATTGTCTTTCAAAAAGTACACCATTTCTCCCTTTTAGTCTCACAACTGTTGCACAAGGTAGGCTTGACAAAGATATAATGATGACCTAAAGGGACCTAATGATTGACCTAAATTGACTCACTGAAGTTCAAGGTGGAATGTGATTTGAACCAAAGGACAAATCACAGTGGGCCCTAGTCACTTTTGAAAATAATAACTTCACTGGGGTAGAAGGCAAGTGTGTGCTTTCCATCTTAAGCTGAACACAAATACCACAAACAAAGCAGAGTTTATATTTTACATTAAAAAGCAAATTCTCAAAGTATTTGCCAAGAAATATATACATTTGTGCAGGTTTATTTGTCTTTCTCGAAGTTACATAACCCACCATTGTGAATGCAGTCTTACTTGGACATGTTTTTTTTCATGACAAAAGTTATGGTTGGGTAAGAAGAGGTGTGGGTTAGTCAGTAGAAGCCAATACAGAGAGACAGAGTGTCAGCTGTTGTGAATGAGTATGAAAGTGAGAATGGCAAAAGGCAGACCAGAAATTCATGCAAAAGACAAGAGATTCCCACCCACTGAAGGTCAAAGGTTATATATAAGAAATGCTTCCTGTATTTTTTTTCAAATACATAGGTATATATTTTCGTAATTCGGTGGGCTGGAAACTTGCATTCCAAAAAACATAGGCCTTTTTTTTAGAAAATTTGCTGCATGAGCAATACAGTATATGGATCCATCTTAAACTGATTGATACTCCAACCACTTACTTGAGAATGTTATGATACAAATTACCCCATCACACAATGGGTGGGCACTGGAACCACTGCTGCCACAATGGGAAGAGAACTGAACAGCCACTTCTGTAATGGAAGACTGGTGGCTGTTGCTGGTGTCATGACAGACCCCAGGAAGGTGACATTAAGTTAGCTGTGTCTTTTGGAGCTGGGACCTCGACTCAGTATGCCCAACTGTTCAGTGGAAGGAGTGGCTTTGAGGGATACCTGAATCATAATTCCTGATACAAACATATCAACACTTTGATACCATGAAAGAAGATAGTACTGATCTTTGATCCTTGATTCTTGAATAGAACTCCATTCTCACTATATTAAAAAAATGATGGATTTTCTTCTTTTCTGGAAATACATTATCCAAACTGTAAGATGAATTGAAACTAGCAACAACCTGGCAAATCACACACAAGATCACTACAGTCACCAAGTGGTTCTGTTTAGTGTCAAGAGTATGTAATAGAAAACTAGTTCTAGATTTTTATGTGCATTTTTTGTTGTTTTCCATTGTACTGTATTTATTCTTTCAGTATTTCTATTGTATATTTTAACTGTTTCTAAGGTGTTTTGGTCTTTTAACT